TTTCTAATATGCTCTTATGCCAGACTTCATTGATCGAGGCACAACACCACGAATGCCGTGGCATGACATTCATTCTGTGACTTTTGGAGCAGCGGCTAGGGATGTGGCCAGACATTTTATTCAACGCTGGAATGCAACAAAAACAGAAAAGTGTAAGGTAGGGAGAGAGAAATTATCATACCTAAACTTCCTCCTTACATGCTTTTTATACCATATTTATTTCAGAATGACAGCAACTATCCTTATTTGCTCCCGAAAAGTCATGAAAATCTCAAAGTGCCACGAGTATTTAGAGCCTCCAACTTCAGTTATAATGTGAATATCCAGGTCTGTTAATGTAGTCACTATTCATACTTCTATAAAGTTGACATCTTTATTCTACCATTTCGGTCGTTTGAGAAAGAAACGATCACCACTTTTTATAATCTCTTTGAATGCATTTGAACAGTAAAGTAGTATCGCGTAGTCGCTGTTAATCAGTGAATGTAGCTGATTGTTTGAGAGCGGGCGCCTTGTAGTCAGCTAATCTTTCTTTGCAAGAAACCATTGTTTTATCGTGTTGATGCACCACTTCTTTAATAATGTCAGTCAAATGAGATGTGATAAGAGAGTGTAGCACGCATTTTACACAATAGAGTTGACTCAGCATACAGAATACAGATGAAAATTTTTGAGAGAAATTGTTTTTGTTGATATGCATGGAAAACACTTTAAGGGAATTGAGCTCTTGTGTTTTAGCTGAACAAAATACGAAGATTATGAAGCAAATGTGAATATAACGATCATAATGGTTAATACGGTCAATTACTCACTAATGTGGCCATGAACTGCAAACATATATTGAAGGTTATTTGACGTAGAAACAAAATTAATGCAGTGTTGGGATTTGTGTAAAAGTAATGCGAGAAAAACCATGTATTGATCTATCAATCAGCTGTCAATATTCACCATCTTACCCAAATACTGTGAGACTTACACCATTAGTTAGCGCTGATTGATTTACAGCACAGAGTAGAGCATTCGGAAAGGAGACAAACAAGGGTAAAATATGCTTCCAGGTGTTGCGGTCCCTGTCAAATTGGTCTGGTTTGATAAATCAAACGGAGGACTCCATACAAATGGCGTATCTTTCTCTTATTGCCAACTCCAAGGTACTAAATCTTTTCCTCTTACCTTTTATCATCTTTTCTCCGGACGTGTTGATTTTATGAAAATATTATTTTAGCATTATATCTACATAGAAAATCAATTCTTTGTTTCTATGGTCGACTCGAACGATGTACTCAACGAAATTTGTAAAGTAATTTGCAATCGTGTCATACGGGCCTATAAGTTGGTTTTTATTATTATTATTTGCTTAGTCTCTACAGTACTGTCTTTGATTCCGATGCAATTTCTAGGGAGAAAGAGCCTTATCGGGTGTACCTAATGATTCCGCTCATGCCTGGATTTGAGGGAGATGTTGGAGCTCCGGGTGGTTCTGCTTTACAGGCTGTATTGCACTGGACATATCAGTCGTTGAGTCGCGGTCCAAACTCGCTGTTTGAGCGACTGAAAGCAGTCAGTTTCCATCAAATAGTTCAAACAAGGTTGATTGAACAATACCCTAAATTTGAAAATACGCATACTGGATAAGCCGTGCAATCGAGATCAAATTTTCTTTTTTTTTT